GGCGGGAGGAGGGTGGCCCACCTCGCCTTGAAGGTGGGCCCCGCTGGGGGTGCCACGCGCTTTCAATGGCTGCGTGTGAGGTGCGGGCGCCACAGACTCGGCGCTGACGTTCATCCAGAACAGTGATGCCTCTGGATTAATAGGAGTGTCATCTGGGCACATGCATGCATAGATTTATCCCCTCACCATGCTGAGCTCCCCTTCTTTGCTGGCCGCACCGCAGGTCGGCCTGTCGAGCGAAGTGGTGACTGGGACGGCGCTGCTCACCCTCATGGCAGCCACGCTGCTTGTTGGGGTGCTGGTCACCGCCGTGGGTGAGCGCTCGCAGAACGCCTGTTCAAGCGGTGACAGCGTGTATCAAACGCTGCAGAACAAACATCGCAGCATCCCTGTTTCCTTTTTCTGCCCGTCGGCCTTGATGCAAGGTCAACTTCGGATTACCTTCCAGGCATGATGCTTCCGCGCAACACCTCACCGTGACCTGGTATCATCTTTCAAACGCAGCCAGGTTCAAGCTCGCCACTCTGGTGCAGTACGTCCCGCTCCCCGTAGTGGGTGCATACCTGAGTGAGTGGACAAGGGCAGTCCATCCACCAGCAACAGGGACAGGGCCGAATGGAGCCGCAGAGCAGCAAAAGTTGCAGAGGAAAATGCAGGCGCACGCCATGTTGGGTGCCCGGTGACAGCAGCACATTGGTGTGCCCGTGCTGGTTGGGTCAGAATGCAGGGGTTGCTGCGTTAATCCGCAGTTGGTCGCATTTGATGCGGCTGGCTGGCGAATGGCAGGAGTTGTGCGTCTAAGCCAAGGAGGGGCCGCGCGCTTGACAGCAGCGCAGTGTAGGGTGTGTTGATGGCCACTGTCACCCCTCGTGTCCAGCCCCAGCATGCATCTTGCCTCACAGCGACGACGTGAGCTGATGCCTCCGTTCACCTGATTCCTCCACCCATTCATCCCTCTCCTACAAACCTGATGCCACCGCCATCCGTGTTGCGTGGAAATCCTCACGCCACGTGTCCAGGCTACGTTGGTGAGGGACATTTATGGGTCCAGGGCGAATCGCTTTGCTTTTTGGCAGGCCCAAGGCGCCCCCTCTATACTGTGACTGCATGTGTTGTCGCTCTGCCGCCCAACCACACACTCCTGCTTGCTGATCACCCGTCCCTCGCAGGCTACTTCTGCCTGGCCTCTGGTGTGGGCCTGAGCACTGGCATCCAGATCGAGGGCTTCTCCACCTGGCTGGAGCTCCTCACGCAAGGCGCGGACGGGGTGCCTGCAAAACCGCAGCGCTACAACTGCTGGCCCCCCCCTACTACTCCGGTGCCTCCTGCTTGGCGTGATGTGCTTGTGATGCGCAAATACCTGACGTGCATTTGTCACAGGCGCTCCTCACGCGCCCGGACTTCGCGGCGGGCATGGTGCCGTCATCTTGTCTCATCCGCCACGCTGCATGGTTATGGAACGTTGGGCCCACCCTGTATGGGTGGCCACATGCAACCCCCAAACCCCCCGCAGACCGCCTGATCAAGCTGGCCCCCACCCTGGCAAGCGCACTGGTCATCATCACCACCATGAGCCGCGCCCGCAGCCCCTGGGCGCTGCCAGGCGTGCTGGTGGCGCTGCCGCTGGCGTTCCACGCCGTGCTCCTGTGGGCCGGGGTCACACTGGCGGATGCGCAGGACGCTGGCTGGGCGCTGAAACCCGAGGTGGGGTTTTGCTATGGAAGCTCCTCATTTGCGCCATATGATGGTTGTGCGCAGCAAACCAGATCAAATTCAAATATGCGAACAGAATTCCTGATGACTGGACCCCGGGACGTCAAGCCCATCAGCTGTTGTGCATCTTGGTCGGCCGCAATTGGCAGAGCTGGAAAATCAGCGACCTCAGAAAGAATGCAGCCAGCTCATCATTATTGTCCCTCCCCTGACACCTCGTGGTGGCCCAAACAAACCCAGGGCAACGGCAGCCAGCAGTTCTGGGAGCTGTATGGCATGTTCAACATCAGGGACCTTTCATTCGACGGCATCTACTTGCCCGCGCTGGTGAAGCAGCTGCCCAAGATGCTGGCGCTGTTCTTAGTCATGACGTTCGGCTCCTGCCTCGACGTTGCGGCCATCCAGGTGGCTGCCCCGGCCACACAGCCACAGGGCAGGGCCGCTTGCAGGGCAGGGACCGCGACGGATTGCGAGGTCAGCCGCATTACCATCACCTGTCACCGGTCAGGACCTGAGGTATTGGCTCGAGCCTCACCCTGCCCACCACCCAAACCTATTGTCCCAACCTCATTCTAAGGAAACGAGTGCAGCTGGCCCAACCCAGCCCCCATTTGTGTTCCCTATCGCAGCACTCACTCCATCGGCCAACGCGTCCCCCCTCCCCCCCCAGGCGGAGGTGCCCATTCCCATTGACTTCAACAGGGAGCTCGCCACTGTGGGCTTCTCCAACCTGGTGTGCGGCCTCACAGGCAGCGGCTACGCAGGTGCGGCGGGGAGAGCATCCCCGGGAGACCCAGAAGGGGGAGTTTATGTTGCCACAATGCATGCTCTGGTGACAACCTTCTCGCACCACCGCTTCTCCCAGGTTCATGACGTCCCCAATCAATTATTTATCACCCACCTTCTCCTGGACTTTGCAAGGGGTTCATATTGTTTGCTTCAACTCCACACCTAAAGCACCCATCTCGCTTGCACATGCACACCACCCAGGCTCGTACATCTTCAGCCAGACCATCTTCTCCCTGAGGGCCGGTATCACCAGCCACTGGCACGGCTGGGTGATCGCGGGTGTCGAGCTTGCGGTGTTCCTGCTGCCCTTTGCTGTGGCCCCATATCTTCCGCTCTTCTTCTACGGATCCTTGCTGGTCGTGTTTGGCATCGAGATCGCTGGCGACTGTGAGTCATCTGTGACAGCAGTTTAGAGTGATCTGGACTGAGCTAATTCTCTTGTTGCAATTGCTGTGACGTCGGGCTTCCTTGGCGTTGCGCTTTGCATCAGACTGTGACCATATGTTTTTGCGTTGACTGCTCTCAAGACCAAATAAAGAGTCTTCGCACGTGCCGCACCGCCCAACCAGGGCTGGTGCGCTCCCGCAAGAAGGTGACGCGGCCGGAGTACCTCCTCCTGCTGGCCACGTTCTTCGCCATCATGCAGGCGAGTGACACGCGCACTGTTTTCCCGTGATGACGCACCGATTATTTCTGAGCTGCGACTAGCAAGAAGTGTGTATATGTCTCTGCACAGTGTCTGCAGGGAGCGCCACGCCGCGTCAAGGGCATGCTGTTGTGATCTCAGGGTTTCTGCCCCGAGCACACTTTGCCCACCCCTTCGTTTCTGGTCCTCCCCTCACCCCGGCGCCACAAAACACGGCATGCTTGCACTCACAGTTTGAGCTCCAGATGGGTGTTCTCATCGGTGTGATGATGTGCCTCACATACTTTGCGTTCACATATGCGCGCGTGACAATGACGGTGGGCTATGATGGTCGTACGGGGTGGGGTGGGCAGGCAAGGTGGTGACCAGGTGTGCTGGGCGAGAAATGTGGCCCTGCACGCTGGACACGGTGGCGAGGATGATGCGCGGTGAATGTCCCTTGCATCCTGCAACCCAGAATCTGACCCCCTCAACCCTGTTGGTCTTGGGCGGCGTAAGCTCTCACTTTGCATTGCGGCTGTTCACACCACACACCCTTTACCCCAGCCCACCACCGTCATGTCCTGCTGCACTGCATTGCCCTCGACCAGCCGGCCACGACACACCAAACCCGCTCGCTGTCCCAAACCACCCCACACCCCTCACTCTGCCACGCTCCCCTCTTCCTGCGGCGGCGGGCGCCGCGTCCTCCGCTCCCTCCTGCCAGGCGTTCACCGTGCTGCCGTCCCGCAGCGTGGCCGTGCGCACCTTCAGGGAGCGCGCCGCCCTGGAGGCCTTCCAGGGCCGCAGCCTGGCCATGGGACTCAGCGGATACATCTTCTTCGGGTCCAGCGTGCTGCTCAGCGAACGGGTGCGCCGGGCCGACAGGGATGGCCCCGTTCGTCATGCTTTGGCCACCCCGCTGCGTGCGTGTGTGAAACCCTTGGACGGGTTGGTGGTGGTGACGCGCACCATTCAGCGGCCTTGGGCTCATCTGCTGTGCCGGCATCCGTGCTGTCACGCACAGAACGGCTCGTCACGCTCAACCGCACATCCCTGCCCGCTGAGCCTGCGCCCCTTGCGCCAGCCGCCCACCAAACCCCTGCGCTGGGCCGACCCTGCCGCAGGTCACCCAGCTGGCAAACGAGATGGTGGCAAAGGGAGCAGAGGCCGCCCGCTTAATCCTGGCCGCAGGCGCCCTCGGTGGGGGCACTGGCGCGGGCAGCGGCGCGGGGTTTCCTCTGCAGGTGGGTGCTGAACAGAGCGTCCTCCTGCCTGGCATTGAACCTTTCACCCTGCCTCGTCTACTTTTCGGCCCGCGCTCTTGACGCGCGATCAGCCTGCATCATGTGCAAGCATGTAACACATCATCTCAGGCGTGCTTGATGAACTTCTGGCGCCTCCATCTCCGAGTCAACCAGCATCCAGCTGGATGCTTAGCAAGCTGCCACCACGAGTGACCCAGCTGGGGGTGCTTCTTCTGCCCCCCTCTTTGTCGCAGGTGGCGGTGCTGCCGGGCACGGGGGGTGCGGCCTGGGGCGGCCTGGACCCCCTGAAGCTGGCGGCTGTTGTGGAGGGGGCGCCCTGCTACGTGCTCCTGGACTTCAAGTGAGAGGGCCCTGAGACCCTGGGGCCCTGGGGCCTGACAGGGACATGTGGGGAGTGTGTGCATGGTGCTGGGCTGCTCCCTATGCAATCAGATGTCAGCTTTGACGAAGAACGGTCAGCGGCATCAAGGGTGATGGTCCCGTGGGGCCGGGTTGACAGCGGGGACTGGCTTGCGCGCGCTGCCAGCTCCAGCATGCTGCATGCGTATGGCCCGTGCGCTGCGGTGGTGCATTCTGCGCCTGCTGACTTCACCTTAAAACCCCTCCGCCGCGCCAGGCGGGTTCTGGGTGTGGATGCAACAGCAGCGCAGCTGCTGGGGAGCCTGCGGGTGAGCTCATTGCACACCTAGCCGGGGACGGGGTGGCAGGACGCGCGAGTCCTGCAGCGGCGTTGTGCAGCTGTGCGCGTGCACCCAACATAGTCAGCCTGTCAGAACCCTCGCTGCGCCCTTCCTGTAATCGTACACCGCGCTCGACGCTTACCAGCGCAAACCTTTGAGATTTCAATCATGTCTGCGACTCCTATGTTGAAGCTAACACCTGCCGGGCCCTCCCGTCTTAGGCGCCCACCCTCCTACCTTCGACCCCCAACCCCACCCCATCCTGGGCCTTCAAACCCTCTTAAAATTGACATCGCAGAGCCTGCTGCGCCAGGCGGGGGTGGAGCTGGTGCTCACGCGCGTGAGGGACGCCACGGTGCGGCGGCTGTTCCTGGCGCACGGACTGATCGAGCCGGGCGCAGGCGACGAGGAGGCCGGCGGCCACGGGGGCGGCCACGGGGGTGGCCACGGGGGCGGCGGCGGTGACGTGCTGTACTGCCGGGAATTCCCGACCCTGAGTGAGGGCGAGGAGTACGTGGAGGACAGGTGGGCAGCCCTGGGCATGAACTGGGGGGGGTGGGTCGCACTCCTGTGCTGGTTGCAGCCCCAGGATTTCTGCTGCGGATTTGTGAGTGCTGGTGGCAGAGCCCAAACACGCATCGCTTACATAAGCATCAATTGCATGGCCGATGTCGTGTTTGCATACACCCACACTTGCTCTGTCTCACCGCCAGGCACCTGGCGCTGGTGCGCGCCGCGGGCCTGCTGAGCAGCGGCCAGGACGCCCTGACACTGGACGAGTTCCTGCTGGGCAGCGCACAGGTGGGGGGGCACGGGGAACGTAGTGCAATGGGGGGGTCACATAGACGACTTGAGGCAGCGTCGCCTGGAGGCGTGCGTAAGCAACAGGTTGCCTGTCTCAGGCTCCTTCCACCCCTCCGCCAACGTGTGTCACCTTCCCTGTCCCCAACATTGAACGCCGGATTGCTCATCCAAACAATCAGGAATGCCCCCTCTCGGAAGGCCTCGATGCCGCCGCGGCCGCGGCTGGCTTTGCCGCCTACTCCACCGTGCACACCCTCGAGCCCGGGGCCCTACTCATGGACTTTGACCAGCCGCCAGACGCAGTCTATTTGGTGCTGTCGGGCGCGTTCGACGTCGCCATCAAGCAGTTCATTGAGCCGGCTGTGGTGGTGATGTCAGCGGAGGGGGAGAATGACGTCAGCAAGGCGCCGGGGGCCGCGGCGGGGCGGCCGCGCGACCCCCACGAGCGTCACTTTGCGAGCGGCCCCGGGTCGGTGCTGGGGGCGACGGACTTTGTGCTGAGGCGGCCGCGCAGCTTCCGCGCGGTTGCGGTGGCGCGGAGCGGCGTGGTGGCGGTGGACAGGGCAGGGTACCGCCGGATGGCGGCGGCGGCGCCGCAGGCGGCAGCGTTCCTGCAGGTGAGTGGGTCATCAGGGCGCCCGGCTGAGGGCTCATGTTGTTTGGCATTCAACGCTGGGTCCCGGCAGCGGTTGGGGTGAAAGTGTAAGGGGCGGTGTGCTCAAGGGGTTGGCCGCCGTGGGGTTTTGAGCGGCGGCCACATCAGAGGGTGATCCGTGCCTGCTTGAGTGTTGTGATTGGGGCTGAGCCGACCAGGGGAAAACCAAGAGGGTGGCTTTGCCGGAAGCCTGGCGTGGCAGCAGGTTTCAAGATGGCCTTGCAGGCAGTGCACTGTAGCAACAACCATTCTCTTACAGCAGGAGACTCTGCCCTTGTCCCTCCAAAACAAAGAGAAACCCGGTGTCCGCCGCCCTCGCCCCTGCCCCCCGGCCCCCGCGCACCGCCCGCTGACCAGATGATTCTCCTGCGTGACGCGGCCCTGGGGGAGGCCTACTCCTACGAGATCCTGGAGAGGGCCCTGCTGTGCTGATGGCCCAACATCGGACTGATCTGGGGATGATCTTATTGGGCGGTGGGCCGCTGGTTCACCCAGTCCCTTGGACGCAACGGGGATCAACGTCTGAAACTCGTATGTTGGACCGGTGGTGCTGGCCGGTGGCGTGTTCATACACAGCTTTCTTTGAACGTTTCTGCCAGACTACTGGCGCCGCGCTCGAGTCAATTCTTGTCCCAATATGATTGTGCCGCCCTCAGAGGCATGCCATTTGATACTCTTGTGCGCACTGTTGCCCCCGGCCCCAGCCCATTGCTGACGCACACAAGGCGCTCGCACAAAGGCGATGCGCGGCGCCCCAAGTCACGTTGCTCCAACTGTTCTGGCTTGGTCGTCCGTGTTGACAAATGAGCCCATCGCCAGCTTACTTGGCAAGTGGCGGGCGGCCACTTCCCAGCCTAGAGGCGGTTTATGCCGAGTATGGGGTGCAGAGTATGTGTCGATGTGTGTGTGCCATGTACTGGGCCAGTACGACGAACGGCGTTGGCCTTAGCACAAGCTGTAACACCTCTCGCCCCCCTGTTGGCAGTCTGCCAGTGGTTCCTGGTTACAAGACGTGGCAACTGGGAATGCAAGAGGTGCCGTGTGTGACCGAGCGCCTCGACGACCCTGCCACACAGCGCGGGAGGGGGGGGGAGTAGGGGACCACGCGCGCCCCGAGGGTTGGCTGTCAAGGCGTGGCTGTGGTCGTGTGGTTCAAGGGGCAGGGGCTGGGCAGTCATAGGCTATCGGAAGGGACCCTGCCACCGTGACGGTGCAAATGTTCGCTCCCGCGTGTGCGCCTCTGCCGCCCGCAGAGACGCCCCCTCTGGCAGCCGGCACACCGCCCTGCAGCTCCAATCCCTGCGCTAGCGCAACTTCGTCCGGCCACCCTCACCCACCATGCCCCTGGGCCTGCAGCGCCGAGCTGCGCACAGCGGAGCACTTTACAAAGGTTGCGGTCCGACGCATGCAACACCAAGAAAGACCGGGGACCGCTGAGCAAACAAGAGGGGAAGACAGACAGGTGGGCGGCCGCAGTACGCAGCCTTAATTTGGAGGCAGTGCGCTGCTCCGTGAGTCCGGCGCTGGTTGGTGCCGATAAAGCGATGGGCTCGGCGCGCCGCGGCTTGTCGCGTGCGCGTGCCCCTTGAGGCGGGGCAGCTGGACCCTGCAGATGACTGTGCATACGCTGCAGCTGCTTCCTCAAGGCACAGGCCGCCTGGCCGACCCAACGAGGGCTGTGCACTGGGGGGTGTTGCACGCCGGCGCAAGCGCGGCTGCGCACCCAGCCTCGACGCACGATGTGTGAAATCCCACTGGAGCGCGGAAATAATGAGGATCTGGGGGGAACGCGAACAAAGCCCCCAGCGATGCATGGCCGCATTGCAGGGGCGCCACACAAAACCAGGCTCGAGAGGTGCGGCTCGCATGCGCGCCCGCGTCCTCTGCGCCGCAACGCTGCAGGGCTGTCGAAGCCCTCAGACCGCCACCCCCTGCAGCTCAAGCGGCAGCAGCGCCTGCTGCGCCGCCACCCGCGCGCGCGCATTGCGCCGGCACAGGTCCGCCAGCCGGAACAGCGCCCCCTCGAATTCCGATTGCTCCGCGTCGCCGCCGCTGCCGGCCGCGTTGGCCAGAACGGCCGAGACGCCCAGGAACATCTGCTGATCCCCCGCCTCCAACGCCACCGCCGGGACGGCCGCGACGGCGGAGGAAACCCAGGACAGCGCCTGCGGCCCCCCCAGCCGCAGCAGGGCGCCTAGCGGCTCCGCTATGTCCGGCACGCGCGCGTCGGGCTGCGCGCCGGCCGCGCCGGCGAGCAGCAGCCGCGCGAGCGGCGGGCCCGCGCGGAGCAGCTGCTCGCGCAGCAGCTGCTGGGCGGCGGGGGTGGGGGCCAGGGCGGCGGGCGCGTCTGAGGGGTGCAGGAGGCAGCGCAGGAAGGAGAGGGCTGAGCGGCAGGCCTCCCGGTGCTGCACCAGAGTGGCCAGAAGCGCCGTGTCCAGCAGCGGGGGGAGAACCTGTGACCAGGGGGGGGGGGTGTTGGCGAGGGCGTGGCGTCGAGCGTTTCGCATTGATACCGGGAACAGTGGTCTGCAGGAGAGTGGGTTCCAGGGGGTGCAGATAACATTTCTAGAGAGGCGGCTGCAGGGGAGCGCGTTGTTTGTGTGCCGAGTCAGCGGGTCGGCTGCGAAGCGCGGCGTCATGGCGCGGCGGCGCTGTCCTGCGAGATGCAGCGCAGCCGCGGCCACGAGGCCCCGCCGTGTGCGCGAGCGGCATCCTGGCACTCCGGTTTGAGTGCCTTGTCCCTCGCAGTCGCCACACTGAGTATCGCGTCGCACGGCTGGGCAGCTAGGAGTGCAACAGGGTGCGGCTCAGAGCAGCGTCACGGCACATGCCCACTGAACTCAGAGGTGGGGGTATTCGGCCCCACCTGTGGGGTGACTATGAGTGTTGGGGAGTAGTTGAGGGTGCGGCCCGCCAGCAGGAAAAGATCATCAGTCAGATCTGGCCGCGAGGTCAGGGCCTGGGGGGAAAGGGTGGGGGGGGGGGACAACAGGTGGGAACAGGAGGGTGAGGGGCGGGAGGCGCCGCGTAGTGGTGAAGTGGCAGG